TCAGATTAGGTCAGAAAGGGTATTGTTTAAGAGGCCAGTCTTTAGACCCTAACTGAAGTGGCTATATTAAAATTAAATGTAATAAAAAAAACGAATGAAAGTTTGGTCTACCTTTAAAGATGGGTTTTCTTATTATCTAGTGTTAGATTAAGCAAACTATTTGATTGATTGGTTTTTCTTATCATGTTCTTATTGCATATAATTAAGAGTTTTAATCTACCATAAACGTCCATGTATGTACAGTCTGGATAAACAAAAAAGTAAACTCTTTGACCTTTCATGATCGGTCACTCATTGGAATTCTGTTGGTAATTCTCGTCTAATTTAGCTACTTTCTTCTCATATAAGTATTATAGCATTTTCATAAATGAAAATAAGGGAACCCATCTTTAATTAGACTGCCGAATACAGTACGAAAGTACTTCCTGGACCTATTCCTGTTATCAAGGTATCTGACCCGGATATTCATGATTCGATTTGTTAATCCAATGCACCAATGTCTGTACCTTGCCACAAAAATTTCGCAATTCGGTAGACATCTCAATCACAAAATCAAACTGTATTTATCCAGGCACAAATTGAGTCAATTGGTTGAAAAGCTTCAAGACAATTTGATTTATTATAGCCCGATTATCAGGATTGGAGCGTTATAATGGAATTGTTTGATAGACATTTAGAGTTAATTATGTAATGTAACAGTGTAAGTGTATTCTCATTGACACAAACTGTTGATTCAGTTGGATAGATTCTTTACACTGTAAAAATTGTCGGTAAAATAATGGTAGAAATCGAGCTGTTCACAAACTATCACGTCGGATGTCGAATAACAAAAGACGGGTAGATGTGAATGCATGAATACATAATTATTTTGGTTTGCGCATAGCTACAGCGAATGGTGTGCATTGGATTCCTCCGTTCTCTTTGTTAAGTAACCAGGCTCTGTCGCTTGTCAAACTTCCTTTGGCATAAAACAACGTGCGATATTGGGTCATTATACAAGGTGATTACCAAAATTGTACAGGCCTAGAGTGGAACAAATACTTGGGAAATACGTTCTGGATCTGCTGGGTATTTTTCTTTTCTGTTCTGATCTGAAATAAGATAACAATAACTCGTCCAATGAGCATGCAGTTATGTATACAGGTTGATTACTTTTTCGAAAATGCATATTTGCTTATAGACATGGCGTGAAACTTTCTTGTAGACTCTAGTATGGACTATCTTACAATTCTATCTATTGCTGGTGGTATTGGACGGGGCAATACTGTGTGCTATGCCTGTAGAATGGTGAATATTCAGTCCTATTTGTCTTGCTGTACTCAGTGTCTCAATCCAGTGGTCTTCCCTAGCTTGACTTTATTTCGTTTTTTCATCCTCTGCCAAGTCAATTAGGCTACCGTGCGCTCATGCATTGTTCTGATGGGCTGAATGTTAGAGAAGACCATTTCCTTGTGTATTGGACGTAATTTTGTAAAATAAAGAGTTTAATATTATTGAAAAGGGTTAGTGTAAGATCGGCTGATGAATGGTCGTCCAAGTTAAAATGAAAAGATACAAACTGTTGCATCAGTTATTCCAGAATGACACAGAGACACTAATGGTTTGTATCGTCATTAGCCTCAATTTATTTTGAACATAAATGTTTTACAGTGTAATAACCGATATCGGAATATAGGACACCAATCACGAGCAGACTACAGATCAAATATTCGAATTTGACTAACATATTCATTAAACTGTACTTGAAGATCTCCTTGATTTCAATCATTCCAATAGAAATTAGGTGACTCGGATATCAATTTGTTTGAGTCCTGTCATCTATCCCTCATTTTTCATACAATTCGATTAAAAGAAAGTCTCCATCAATCGTAGTAATACTGATAGTGAACTGACTGTTTGAAGTTTGATTCTGACGGACTACAAGGGGATAAAGAGTCTGTTAATGTCGATTAAAATGATTTACAGAATGGATAGACACGATTACACCTGGTTATCATTTTTAAATTATTCAAACACAGAGAAAATCAATGTTCTATTAAATCATAGACACTTGAACGTATTTTGCTAAGGTCATCGTAAAGTACGATTATATAACGTATTATTTTGACGCCAAACCTTTAGATTGTGATTGGAACATTTTCTCACAACACTTTGCACATGGAAAGCATGCTTCATGTGTTATTTCAGTCAACTCGATGCGAGCGCATTGCTTTTTATGAAGTTAGGGCATAACAACATCTTGCGGAATTTATTGAAAGCCTATCTGCTTAAAACAGAACAAGTATAATGCAACCTTACTTCTGGTCACCAGCATCAAAACACTGACAGAAAATCAGTTCTGCTCTATGTTTGTTTTTACGAACAGGTACTACTAACCTAGGTCTAATTCTATTACGATGTTCATAACTTTACCAACGACCTTGGTGGATCTGTACGATATCGCACTTAAATTTGTTTTGATCTAATCTGTTTGTCTCTCAAACTAGTAATTAATGATGTCATGTAGCCATTTCCTATAGTAATTTTCTAGAATAATAAGAGAACAGCCGGTCATTATCTATTATAATGCCCGGCTAATATACCATTCTTTATCTTCTTAATCGAAGAGTTTCACTTCCGGTAAAACACAGGATCGATGTTAATTGTTTTTACAAGATTTGATTGGTGTAAATCATTGTAGGGTAGTTTATTGGAAAGTCATCAAAGTCGAGTATGGCCTGTGACTTTAAGTTGAAATTACTGTTGTTGTCTATAAAATAGGATAATTTATTCTGAATGTTTGTGATTTATCCTCTACTAACGATTCACTTTCTCTGAAACACGTTCAAACTCTTGAAACCAGAAATTCAAGAAGAGACGATGTCTGGTCTGACATACTTTTATATAAGAAATAATTAGGCCATTGATCGTCTCCACGTGTAGACAATTGTGCAGAATAGCGGTTTTTGACCTTACAAGTTATTTTTTTTTTTTTGATTTATTTTTCATAAGCTGTAGCTAAGATGGATTTGGCGTTTTGAAACGTATGGCGCCATGTATGTTGTGAAAACTCAAATCATAAAACCATGCTTTGCGCCATTTTTCTTGGTAGCTGACAATGAGCAGAACAACGTGTTAACTAATAAGGATCGTTGCGTAAGGATCGTTGCTTAGGACTAGCTCGTAGAACGGATCTTTCAATTCCCGAACATACAGAACGTTGGCAGTGAAAATCTGTACCTAACCCATTACAGTTTATATATATTATATCCAATTTCTCCGAGGTCCCGCCTTGGGAAAACACCTCTCATAACACATCCCACCACTTCAGACACTTTAAAGAAACGGTCCTGCTATCAGATGATTGTCTTATAATATTAAAATTAATAGGCCAAATACCATGTTGGAGTTATTTTAAAAAGTGATAGGACATGTTTATTTACAAATCAAACACAGTTTATATAAATTTTTAACGCGTGAATAAACGGTTATGAAAAGGGGTTATTGGGGTTAAGTAATATGGGTAGAACATTAGTTATGTTATTTATATTATAATATTATATATTTATATAACCTGCACGTACCTCCTCCACTGAACAATAACACCGTGATATAAACCACGTGTTCACACAACCAGCAAGACCAACATCGGTTACTAAAAATCATTTCAGAACATTTCTCCAGCGTCTGGAAGAGATCGCCTACATAATTTAAGCTTTTAGATTTTAGTTGTGGTTTTTTATTTTTTGAGATCTACCCTTTTATGAAGACCATATTGAAAGATAAATTGCTTCAAATGGCAAACATGGCCAACTTTATTAGAGCTTTTAGATTTTATTTTTGATAATTGTTTTTATTACCATCCTTGTTTCATGAATGTATTAAAGGAGTCTCATCGTATGGCAGAGATCGCCAACAATATTAAAGCTTCTAGATTTATTTTTGATAATTGATCGTTTGAGGTCCACTCTTTTGTGATGACAAGCATAAAATGACGAGTTTCATCGTATGACAGATATCACCAAACATCACCAGTGTTTTATTAGTGTCACCCTTGTTTCACGACCGCTTCAAGCAGTTGCATGGTGACCATCACAAACTAAATTAGAGCTCTTAAATTGTACTTTTTATAATTGAGATTTTTAATACCACCCTTTTATTGCGACCTCAGTCCATTCTATAAAACAATAAGAATCTTCGAAAATATAAAATAATAAGCAACCATTCTCAATCAAGTAATTTAACCCATATATTTTTGACCGAATCTGTCATATTAATGACATATGACATTAACCGTGAGGAAGTGAGAGCGGAATTCCATTAAAAAGTCAGACAATTTGAATCTCGAGACAGATAGTGACAGTAATAAACAGTGTTTAGGAAGTGAAAACAACCCTGGGCTATAATATACTACTATTAAGGTTACACAGTACGTTATAGTATTAGATCTATTGGTTCATCACAACATTACGTAAACTTTGGTTCCTTATATTCTAATATGTAAGACCCGTCGCAGCCGAAATGAGCACACGGCCATGTCAAGAAATTGGTCGTCTACCAGTTGCTAGCAGTCATTGAAAATAAAGTACGATCTGAGCCATCCTTTAAATTCAAACTATTTATTTAACATCTCAGAATTGCAAGTGACCCTCTCTTTAAAGGAAGTCTACTTTTGTTAAGATTAATCTTTGAATTCGAGACTTAATTGCGAAAGAAATGCAGCTGGACATATTGCGAAATACATTATAATTCCATGGGGCTTACAGTTATAAACTCTCAAAGGATTAATCAAGAACGTTCTGAAAGCAACTGTCTCTTTTAACAGTTCTGGTTTTAAAAAACAATCATGGTTGCTAAATGTCACAGAGAACCTTGCATCCTGACCTCACAAAACTGTGATATCGCAAGGTTTGGTCTTGCCACTTTACATGAAAGATTAATGCATGGCACAAGGGAAGTTTATACCTGGGGTCTGAATACTTTTCTTCAATTTTGCTACATTGTGTTTACCTGTTTTTCAGCCGCCGGAACCTCCTGAACGATGGGAAGAAGATATATTAGAAGCCTATACTCTACCTCCTGCTTGTGCTCAGCCTGATATGGGTGTATTGTATATAGATCATCATGTACCTGGCTTCAATGTAACTAGTGAAGATTGTTTATATTTAAATATTTATACACCATGGGTAAGATTGTTTTTCTGTTTATTTTTATAAATTACAATCTATATCGTCTTTTATCAATCTAATTGAAACTTCATTTAATCCAAAATTTTGTCTTACCATTTCTGGAGAAAGATTGTGTACAATAGTAACCAGATACCCTCATTGTCGATGAATTCAGTAACAGCATTACCACCTCATTGTTAACGATCAACTCCCTGATGATGGTTCAATACAGACCAGAACAGGTTTCGGAACCTTGTGTGTATTACCTTGGAAGGAATTGGGCATTCCGTCCTTTAAGTATCTAGCAGCGACCTGACAAATGCGAAGGTCGGTCAGGAAGGCTACGAAAATTCCCATTTGTCATCAGAAGCTTTTAGTAAAGTATGAACGATCCTGACGTGGAACAGATTAAAGCTGCCAATGGTAGCTAAAATTGAATTTTTTCAGCTTGAGAAACAAATAAATTTCGTTTTAATGTTAGTTTTTCTACGTCTAACAAGTTCTCGCTGATTGTCTTGATTGTCATTATAACTGCCAGGCACCATACTAAGACTTGCAGATATAATTGACAGCAATATTGCCCGATTAAAAGTTAAAGATAAGGTAGTGTTATCCGACATTTAATCAATATATTGGTAATTTCAAGTTTAATTGATGGGTATTATTAGTTGTGATTTCGACATTCAGTGATAATATAAACCTCGCAACACAGTCTGTATAGGGTGAAGACATCAACATTTGTTGTTATTTATATCGTTCTACAATGTATTGAGCGCTATTTTAACAGTGAAAATATTTTATAATTGTAATATTACTTAATTAGAGTACTTTGAATTGTATTTAAACGGTTGTGACCAGTGTTTAGCGATCAACAACTTACTGAAGAATTTATACTTATAGCAAAGAGCGGCGAAAGGCTCATGTGAATTAGGACTGAAAATGGCTTAAGTTTATGCTTTTCGCAGAAGATTTCTTTAATTGCTAGATCTTTTTCTAAATTATGCTATAGGGTGCAGGAAAATTCGTGTCACAAATAGTACTTCACAAAGTAGAAATGGAGCCCAAGCGCATTTTAGACGACTATAACTCTTTAAGCTTAACTTTTTAGTAAATTAACTTTAAAACAGTGCAGTTGTATTAATTTTAAACTTATTGTGTCGTGAAAATTATAAATAGAAACTTTAAGACATTCATGTAGGTTTAGTAATTTTAGAAATATATATAAGTATGAATATGATCATTTATGAAAGAGCATATTAGTTTAAAATGTGATATTCTATACTAGTAATTCACACTATAATGCCAAGATACATATAAATACTCATGGAAACTATTTCTATTGCCGGTTAATTGTCGTAGGTGTAAATTGAATATCTTTAATATCCAGGTAAATTTCTTTAAAAACTTTCATTTATATTATTTTATAGATAAGGTTGAGCAAATAGAAAGAGGCTTTAAAATAATAACTAGGGGTAATGTCATAGTGTATGAATTGATGGTGAGTTGTTTTGTTTAAAACCTTGAGTGCCATCATGGAAAAGTTTAGGTTAATGAATTAGTCCTGATATCGTTTGCAATTTCTAAAGCATATACCTATCTCAAAGGGGAACAGTTTCGCAGACCAGTTACCAGGTTATGAACTTGCCACCCGTTCAGATACACACATTATTATGTATAGCATTAGTAACTAATGATCATTAGTCATCATGGATACCAACAATTTTCCAATATCTTAAATACTATTCTAATTCTCTCCTTTCTTCATGGAGTAATTTTTAAATTTGAGAAATAGTTTCTGTGATCCGATATAGTGAACCATTACTACATAGACTCGGTTGACACGTTAATCCTCTCGTTAATAAGTAAGTTGTAGAAATGATCAATGAGTTCCAAATTATCAAAGTAACTAAGAATCTTGAGTTGTCTTTTGGGGAGTAGTTTTTCTCGGATTAAAAAGCCATTTATCAGATGAAGATAAACTTTAAACTCAAATAATGAAGTAGATTTGAATTATTGGGTGTCTTTAAAGTGGTATCACGTAAAGGATGAACTCACGTCGACTGGCGATTCCAAGCATCTCAACAGATCTGTCATATCGAGAAAGTGCATGACCATTTATTTAAATTTTCTAGGACTTCAAAGGCAACGAGGATTTTCGTCTACCGGCAATTGATTATATAATTGTGCCAGTTGCTGACAGTAGTAGAAAAAAAACAAGTTGCTTTTAGAATCTGCTGGTCGCAAGGTCGACCTGAATATCCCTATTGAATAGTGATGGCCATTTTGAGCACGACGTGCTATCCCGTTGCTAATACAAAGTATTTAAGAAATTTCAAATGTTGTTGTTGAAATGTGGTAAAAGGAATTACCACATGACGAGTTTGAAAGGCTCTACTGTCTCTTTAAAATGGTGTCTGTTACTTCCGGTCCCATATCTTCACGTTGATACCCAATTCAAATGCCACGTATGGTCTATTAATATCTATTCATATGTGATTAAGAATTAGAGAAATGACTTAATATGTCTAGAAAATGACATATTAAAATTTGATCCCGTGTCTAATCTAGGATTATATAGAATGTGGAGATATTTAGTAGAAGTTTACTAAATTACATAATGGCATGAAGTACTCGTAATTACCAGTATATAATATAATTGGTTAATCTTCACCTTTAAAGTTCAGGATTGTAATAATTGTTTGAAGTTAGAATTTATTCTCGCCTTTCTGGATTAGAACAACCCCCCCCCCCCTTCCCCCTCCCTCCCTCCGATCGCGACTATTACCCTCTAAAATTCAAATGGGAAGCCGAGGTGCTCGAACCATTTCAGAAACTTTTTATCACTTCGGGCACACAGGTACAACTATAACCTGTCATCAATAGAAATATCAAATCTGCTAAAGGCAATACAATGATATATATACGTCGGAATAACAGCAGCACACTGGTCGTATAACATATGTTTATCATGTGCTATAAAACTACAGTAAGGTTTCCTCTAGATTCCGGTACCGACCACATGTCATAATAAACAGAAAATTTAACCCATGTCTAATAACATGTTAAGAATTCCTCTTTATACAATTGTTATAGTTTTTATCTATATTGAAGAACGATCTCTTATCAGAAACAATATTTCCAGTTGTTTGACAGGTTAACCATTTGTGTATTGCAACATCGTAGTTGGACGTTCATTTGGGGTTGGCATTTGCTAAAGTTGTCTTTGATCTGCAAATTCTATAGTTTCATCTAAATCAAAGAACCAACTGATTAAGACAGAAAGAGAAAAACAAATAAAAGCAATCCCACGTTTTTATTCTGACCGTCCTCTGTCAGCGAACTGAAAAGAGTCAGTAACTTTCGGGCTAATTTCGACGTGGTTAAAGAACATAACGAACAAAAACTAAAGACACAACGGCTGTTGACCACATTAAAGCTGTGTGGTTTCAAATTATTCTGTGGATATCAACACGTTCCTTACATAATACCACTATCGGTATTTTATACGCTATCTTATATATCCCACTATTATTCTTACCAAAAGGTTTCTGGCAAACTTTTGAATTTTCAAGAAGCGTTGAACAGCTGTATGTATGAAATTTCCACTTTTTACCCCGAAATCTTCTTTTCTCACAGATGTAAGGAATAAAACACAATGTTTTTATATGTAAAGATCTCTCAATGTATACAATAGAATAGAATTTGGTCGGTTATCTATTTGACAAGTTTATGTTGCAGAAGGTTGAATTATGTGCAAGTTTTAGCCTAAGTTACATTACATGTTTGATTCCCAACTTCTCGAGATATTGCTAATATTCCCAACTTCTCGAGATATTGCTAATACTTTGAAAATTAAAAAACTATTTAAAGGTGGGTTTCCTTATTTTGTAGTGTCAAATTAAGCAAACTATTTGATTAATTGATGTTTCTTATGAATTATCGTGTATTCTTTATCGCATCATTATCTTCCTATTATAATTAAGAGTTTAAACTAATCACAAATGTCCATGTATGTACTGTCTGGATAAACAAAAGAATACTTTTTGACCTTTCTTGATCGGTCACTCATTGGAATTCTGCTGGTAATTCTCTTCTAATTGAGCTAATTTTGAAGTAAGTATGAACATGTGAGACGAACTGGTATTTTTCAAGTCATTAGAACACTTCTACTAAATATGCATATAAGTATTGGCATTTTCATATTCATAAATGAAAATAAGGGAACCCATCTTTATATTTATGAAAACGGCAATGTTTCAGTATCTTACCATTAGCTTGAAATTAATTTAATACCATTATTTCAATTCAAAAGATTTTCCTTCATTTTTTTTATTTGACCATTGGATCTACATGTTTCATTGTAAAAGGAAAAAAAATGTAAAATAACTTATTCTTCAAAATTTCATTCTAAAAAATGTGAAAATGGCATTAAAAATCATATTCAGCATCACATGAATAACATAATAAAATTCAGATATCTCAATTTTTAAGAAAAATAAAAGAGGTGCGGGCAGTCTTTTGATAACCTCTATAAACAATTTTATCTGTATCATATTCAAGCACCTGTCAATCAAACTTAAGAATACTTGAATTAAAGGTTAAGACGAGAGGCTTAAATATCGTCATTTCACTGTAGCGAGACGAGATTTGGATACAATCTAGTCTAATTAAGGCGGGAGAATGAACGAGCACATGGTTGAAGTAGTTTTAGGTGAATATGATAGGTTTATGTTAGGTACTGATACAGTCGGGATGTAATTTTGACAGAAAATGATTTATTTAGCTCTTGTTTATATAAACTGTTAATTCCATAACATCTCAATTATATCCTGCCGACCATCTGAAAAGAAGGCACCGGTTTTTACATGACGTAAATACACCCTGGCAGTTTTATCTTGAAATAATTTGAATCTTTGTGGCTATCCAATCCATTGGAATAATAGGCTACTGTACAAGTTTATCTGTACTCTATTACACTATGTTTGTTCTGCATCGTTTCTTTGGCGAGTCTTCTTCGATTAACCTATAAGATTATACTTACTTCGAGGAGCTCGACAAAAATCTTCATAGATACTACACTCTGCGACTGGGTTTATCAATCGGGTATCCCTCATAGGAAGCACCCACAGTTTATAATTTAAACAATACTTATTTTCTATAATATCAATTACATCGAATACATAATATAACTGGGTTCAGAAACAAGAACACGCTTATATAAACCCGTCTCCATATAACATATATATAAATATGAAATAAATTTAAATTTAACAAATAACAATCCACACTTAAAGTATATACATTATACAATTGAGTAAAGTGTATAAGGTTTGAGAAAGGGGGTGTTTATATGTAATAATGAATAATAATAATAATAATAGTTGTGATTGCTGAAAGGCAGAGAGTCGGGTAGTTGGTCATCGTCATATATTTCTGTGTCATTCACGTGACAAGCCACAGTCGGATAGAAGTAGAATGTATGAGAACATGTATGTTCAGTTTATAACGTTAACTATTCATTCCTTACGGAGTCAATAAACCCGTGGAATTGAGGCGTCAATACAACATCTGAAATGTATGCCTACATTCTCCAGTGCACATTTTGACTTGGTGGTGTAATTGTGAAAACAATAAACAAGATCACAAATAATCTTTTTTTTCTTACAGCATGGTTATCATACTAGACGGTATCCAGTGATGGTGTTTATACATGGTGGTTCCTATGAGAATGGTATGGGTGCCATGTTGGAGGGTGGTTACCTCGCCTCTCAAGACATCGTAGTGATAACTTTTAACTACCGACTAGGACCTTTAGGTGAGACATTAGGATGCAATATGCAATTACGGTAGAATACAAATTGGTAAAATATTGATGCTGTAATTTTATATACCACTAAATGTTAACTGCATCTCCGTTATCGAATTGGTCTTTGATTGATGGGTTATCATCAACGTCACGTTGTCCAAAGGAAACTTTCTGAAAGTACACACCAAGTTAAATCACATTTCACTCACTTTACGGAGTTCTTGACCAGTGGCGGCGCCGGTGGGGGATATGGTTTGCACCCCCAATTGTACCCCTAGTTCATTTGCTAACAAACTTAAAAATATCATTTTTTATACGTTTTTTCCCCAAATGTGTCAGAATGCACCACATCCAAACTATTTTCCAGAGAACCCTCTCAGACGCTTCTTGGGAGGCTTGCATCTATGGCGCTTCCACGTTTTGTATACTCAACCTGGAGTCTCAGGAGGCTGGAACCGCCAACTGATCTTGACGGTTTGTTTATTGTGAAGAAAGATTCAAGCACTAATGACCCAGACAACAACAAGTTAGACAGCAAAATTCTCTGTTACAGGTTTTCTGACAGCGTATGATAATGATATCCCGGGTAACTATGGAATGCTGGATCAAATTCAAGCATTGAGATGGGTGCAAGAAAATATCCACGTGTTTGGTGGAGATCCAAATCAAGTTACAATTGATGGACACAGTGCTGGAGGATGCTGTGTTGGTTTGTTGATGCTCAGTCCTTTAGCGAAGGGTAGGTACTGGGCCACAGGAAGCCTGTGCGGGTGTTTGTGACACATATGATTGTTTATAAAAAACGTTAACATTTAGGGATATCAATATAGGCGATTCCGTTGCTCTTCAGATTAGGTCTGCCCACAGATCAGAAAGAAGCAAAGATTAAGCTGCTGTCTAATGATGAAGCGGAAGGATAATTATTTCTATGGAGTAATTGATAGTTTCAGCTACGTGCCTGACGATTAAGGTCTCCTCTGTTTCCACTATGGTGGGTCTGAAAGAGCATCGAAGACTTTGTACCATTGTTGGTCCACCAAGTTTCAAATTCAAATAGGCTTACTTTACGTATAGCATTTAGACACCAAATGATTCAAAAACAACATTTGGTTTGGAAAACGACATCTATTCGAAAGGCACCTGAAATCCCCAGTTCACAAGTTTTATGCTGACAAACTATGTGTTGTTCCTGAACAAAATTACCTCTGACCTGTTAACCGTTCCTGCATTGGCTCAACTGAAGGCAGAAAACTACATTTAATTTTAAAAGATTTGCCTGATTCCTTTTTACCAATTATAGGTCTGTTCACCAATGTCATTCAACAAAGTGGTTCTCCGTTTGCCCATTGGGCAGTTCACCATAGCCATAAAACAATGGGATTTTACTCCAAGAGTTTTATAGCTTCAATGGGATGTATGATGAATACATCAAAAGACATCAAGGCATGTCTGAAATCTGTACCACAAAGAACAATTGAAAGAGTGATACTGGAATATGAGGTAAAGTATTATGAATTGTACCCGTCGTATTAGGATTCATCAATGACCCTTTGGAACTTGCACTTGATGACAAACCAATGGGTTCTCTAGTGCCTAATCACTGACCCAGAATTGTTATGATGTGGCAGAAAGAAACACCTATTTCACAAGGATAACATCTTCGGTTCACAAATATTCTTTATTACACCTTATTGGTCCTTGACCAGACCTCTTGGTATTAATCCATCTTGGATTATCAATCAAATGGCATTATATTCATTTTTCAACGCTTTAACTGCCTGTGCTACAAAACAACTCTGGCATTTTCCATGTTTAATATGGATATTGACCTCTTGCTGTAATTGTTCCTAGCATTCGAAATAGATACCAATGATCCCAAAAAGCCCGTTATCAAGAGTGGTGTTGGATTATCTACTCGACAGCATTCCTGCAAAATTGAAAGAAAGGTTGTTATCCTAGTGATATATTGATGGTTTTTACTAAACCTTACACTTATTGTAGATCAGCACATTTTGAGATTTTGTATTTATTGATTGGTTTGTGTGTTGCAGACTCCAATGCCATTAGCGCCTGTATTTCGACCAGTTGTCGATGGAACCTTCTTACCAGACCTTCCAGAAAATCTGGTGAAACGTGGTAAAATCAATGGCAAGAATTTTCTTACTGGTGCCACGAGTGATGAAGGTCTTACTGCGGGTATGTATTGAATCATAGATTCTACCCTTAACTGAGTCAACCGATATGATCGATGTATTCGACTATGCGAACTTGCCTTTTAGGATTCGTTGCCAAAACAACACATGACATTAATTGGAGGTAACTTTAAATGCGTAGTCACATTTAGAAGTAGAACAATTAGACAAACTTACGCACACTCTTCATTATCATAATCTAAGCGTGACAAATAGTATAATACATCAAAAGGAAATATTCCCTGGCTATTTCAGCAAGTTCCCGAATTCAGATGTTTTCTGTAATAAAGAAAGGACCAAGAAAACTGATGGCTTTGATGAACTGTTTCAGAGGAGATTTACCAAAAATAGAAGGCATTATGGGTAAGAATATGTACTTAAGTTTGATACTGGAACACTCGTCATACTCGTATTACGGACTGCAGTGAATTTTGATTCCTTTTATTAATAATCGGACGAAAGTGTCGTATTCAATTAGCATGTAGCTTGTATCTCAGTGGTGTGGGTGTGTTGCCTCTTTTTAATTTCGAACGATCTCCTGTTGCATCCAATAAATTTTTCCTATATAATTGTAGAAACAGTTCTTGGACAGTATTCACAGTGGCTTATTCAGGTCACAGAAGAACAGATGATGTTTCGATTTTCAGAGGTATGTATTGAGTTTAATATTAAATCGGTAATTTATTCAATAATGTATTGAATTGTGTTTTGAATAATTCATTTTAAGAAAAACATTTCCTCCTCGTCTTTGATAAACGAATTCGGTTAATGTGTGGATATAATATTGGATTTTAATAAGAATAAAAAAAAATGTGTCAAAAGCCTAAGTTGTCAATTATTAATAGGACAGAGTTGTTGTTTTTAGGGGTCCGTATATAACACCGACAACTGAGTTTGTCAAATAATGTTTGTTTTCACCCTATTATTCCATTTTCAGATTGTTGGAGATTATTTTATAGTAGCACCGACTTATAAAGCTGCCAAATTGTTATCAAAAACCAATATGACTGTATATGTTTATAATTATGAATATAAATCTATTTGGGATCAATGGAAAGGTAACCAAACAACATTATTCTTGAAGTGCAATTGTACCAAATCTTAGTAAACAAAGCAAGCAGTCCGACTATCGACCGAATAAGAGTCAAGGAGTGGTCAGAGTGAGAGTAGAATTTTTGTATCTCCTAAAGTCTGTAACGGTAGTTGATCTTTTCTGAATGACTTGAACAGACAGCTCTGTTAAATGTAAATATTTGAGTCCTTTGCGCTGTACAACAAAGATATAATAACATGCACATAATTGACTATGGAATATTTTGTGCCTCCTTTCTGTGGGGATAATGATTTTTTCACAATGAATTCAGGATTCCATTGTGCCGTTACGATCACCATACGTTTCATCTTTTTTTCCAATGCCCCAAGACTAACGTGTAATACTTTGGTCACCCTCTCTTTCCATGCTTTTCCTCATTGTTCACTCCTCGATTACTACGTTCTTATTGCAGGAGCCGTACACGGGGCTGAAATATTCTATCTATCTGGTTATCCTATAAGAAGTCACAAGAACTTTAGATACGATTCCAATGATAAAGATATGGCTCGCCAACTGATGAAAATCTGGGCCAATTTCGTAAAAACTGGGTGAGTCAAGGATTCGGTTGGTTTTTTTTCCCGGATGAAACTGTCGTGTATACTATACAACCAAGAAAACTTGCAACCAAAGGACAAAAACCGTAAGATGAGAATAGTATACAGCAGTACACTATCTCTCCAGAATATAACTTATGGAACCTATTGTGATCATAGTATCACACATTCAGGATCGGCATCCTTTGTCTGGGTGGTACTGCAAATCAAATATGATTTATTTTCTTATTTTTAGGACACCATCTTTGCTGCCAGATAATGATTTTCACATGGCCAGATTTACAGAACAATATCCTCTATATACAAGATTTTATTCAGCTAAAGACGGGCCGGATATATCCACAGAGACTAACTTCAAACCAGTTAAATTGAACTTTTGGAATAATAAAATTCCTGAACTTTTTAAGGCACAATTCCATAATTTGGTGAACACCTCTGGGACTGTCAAATACATCAAAGGTGAACGTTACGTTGTTCATCATAGTTCAAATAGCTGGATTTTGATAGCGGCCTGTATTGGATTGTCTGTGATAACAGTTTTATTGTCGGTTTGTTATTGTCAAATGAGACGACAAGTAACAGTTTTGAAACGACAAAGTAGTGTGTCGAGTGGAGAAAGAATACTTTGAGGACGTTTCGCACAAGACGTTTCGAAATTAAGGATGTCAGAATACCTCAAATTAAAACTAAATTGTGAGAGATGTGCATGAGAGCGAGTAGTTGTAAATACGAGTGTGATCCTGAATAGTGGTGGCAAAATATTGTCGCCAACTGAATGATGGTGGGGTGTATGTTTTTGGCTCTAAAATTTGCACAAGACGTATCGAAATAAAAGAAGTCGGAATAATACCTCAATTAAAAAAAGAAATTGTGAGATGTGTGCATGCATGGGAGAGGGATGTTGTAAATACGAATGGGGAACCGAGTTATGTCGGCAAATTGATACCTTTCATTGACAATTGGATACATTTTATAGCCTTCTGTGGATGATATGTTTCATACAACAAGAACGGGCAACATGAGGATGTCCCCGGTATGGTTTCAACGTACAGTCTAGATTTCCGGACAAGAGAAATACTGGTCTTTTCGTCAATTTTGTGTGTCAGTAAGGTTTAAAATATGGTGTATGAATTAAGATTGTTTAACTTGAGTCATGTGAGCTCCAACTTCACAATATCAAGCTTTTATGATCTTCTACTCTGACAAAACATGGTGCAGAAAAGTAGGACGTAAAACTCCATTCATTTCATTTCTACTCGACAATAGTATCGCGGAATTTAACGATTTGCTTGGATTGTATGCCAGCGAATATAGCCAATCAAAGCCCTCGACAGAAAGACTGTCAACATTATGGCTTAGTATTTACAGACTTTTTATCAAGGCATTTGATTGGCGATATTTGCTACTGTACAATCCAATAAAATCGCTGTATTTACAAACTTCCGTGAGAGAGGCGGCTATTTGAGTCAAGGCGAAAGTCGTGTAGATGCAGCTGTTCGAAAGGCAAATATTTGTACGAATTTATGCCTTTATTTCACCTTTATTTATTGCTGGTTATCATCTTTCATCATTGTCTTGAGGTTGGAAGAAATGATATAGTTCTATTATAGAGTTGAGACTGTTGAAATAACGTCAGTAAATAATCATGCCTTGAAACAAAACAACCTCCGATTACATGTCCCTAGGCATGTCTTACTCTTGTTTACCATACTTACTCCATATGTAACTACTTGATACCGGATATCACAGGGCTGTAGAGTTACATGTAATTGCACTCAGATCTCTTTAAGAGTCCACAAAGGTATTTGGTATTGTCTTTACCCTACTATAGATAGGCAATGGATTTCGATGCTGAAAACAGATATGCGGCCTTTTTGGGCCTTAACAATTGGGACTTGCCCCCTCCCCCCTCGGGCCATTAAAAATGTATCCTACTTCTTAAGTCGCAATAAATATATTCCCCCGACTTAGTCAATATGGACTACATCAACAGTTATTAAAAGGTATGGTATGCATTAAGAATATATTTGCGTAGCATATATGTTCAGCAACGTGTAAAACGAGTCATGCAGGCACCTCAAATCGCAAGAAATATGTGCATACGATAATGTGACCACATACTGCAGTAATTGTTTAAACAAGGAGGGTATAAAAGATTCCTGAACGATTAAAGGTGAATGGTAGGAGTTGAGTTTTTGGAGCTGTATGTGCCATAGATATAAATTATTCCATTGTATATTTTATATTATATTTTGTACTTGTATGTTGTATATTAGTATCTGGTTTCAAATTATTACTATTTATATCGGTTTCTACAGTTAAACAAGTCGTATCTAAGTATGCCCCTATGTTATGAGATGGTGTTATAGACATCTGTAAGACATCATGAACACTCGGAGCTAACAATCTGTAACCCTGATTAGTATTGGCCCCTGAAAGTTATTTCGATTGGCACTAGCATCCTCCATCTGTAACTATAGCAATAGACAGACAAAGAGTCGGAATTTATCTGTCTCTAGCTTTTTTGACTTTCTTGCTAATTTCTTAAACACGCTGTATAGGCCGTAGCGCAATCCATGAGGCACAGGAGGGTCTGGTGGATTTTTTATAATTGTAAAAAAAAAAGACAGATATAAAATTTGTACGTCGTTTCAAAACTGAGGCATGTGCTTCGTTACGCTTAGGGTGCTCTTGTTCTGTACGAAGGGAGATAACCCACTTTTTCTGCTGTTGAGACTAACGTTTCTGTGTTAATATTTGTATGTGTTTAATGTTTTGTAATACATTTGTATTTTTATATCTCTGACTATCAATACAGTTATATGTTTAATATTGTCTCCGTTGGTGAATTATGGTTTTATATTGTATATCAAAAGTGAATAAAATATTGAAAATAGAATATAGCATTTTCATAGGGATGTTTTTCTTGTATCCGAAAGTAACTAACAAAATTTCTGTAGTCTTAAATTGCAGAAAGTAGTAGGAGTATATACTATTGTTCGGTAATTATTCTTTGTTCCTGGGTGTGATTAGAAAGTAGAGGTTTTCTAATAACTTGGAAAAATACCAGTTTGTCTCACACGTCCATGATTATTTCATAATGAGCAAAATTAGAAGATAATTACCAGCAGAATTCCAATGAGTGACCGATCAAGAAAGGTCAAAAAGGTTTTTTTGTTTATCCAGACATACTTTGACATTTATTATTGGTTAAAACTCTTAATTACATGTGATAAGAACATAATGATATGATTAAGAATATATGATAATTCAAAAGAAAACACCAATCAATCGAATAGTTTAATTTGAATAATAAGGAAACCCATCTTTAAAATGTATATGCAAATATCACAATTTAAGACAGAATAACAGATATTATTAAAAATACAATGCAAATGGGAGGTAACTACATCATGGTAGGCTTTGAGCAAAAATACCTTTCGCACTAAGTGCCACTAATACTACATGGTGAATGATTTTCTCCGACTAAGACTTACCCGTTCCATAGCCAAGAATCGTAGACTTCTAATGCAAATTGTAAAATTGGTTGCAAAGGAATGTATTAACTAAAAAGACCAATGCTCAATTTACACCAGATCAAGTAAAACACAACTATAAGACAAGTGGAAAATTGTTCTTAAATGAAATTCAAAATTATAGAATTACAGACAACAACATTAATTTCCAAATACTTAACAATGTTTTTGCTTTTATCATACATGTCCATGCTTCAAACCAAAACACACTGAGTTACTGATTGTGCAGTATGAAAAGTTACTAAATTGGGTTCTAAGAAAAAGCCTACAATTGTAAAAGTCGGCTGGCTGGCTTCAATAGCTATGGCATAGTCGCAGATTTTCCGCAGCTCACAGGTCTACCCAACACGAATGAAATTATGTCAGATGTTAAATTTGAAAAAGAAAAAACTACCCTGTATTGGGATTTTATCGCAAAATTAACTTCATACAGCTACTCAAAGACTGTAAACTTATATAGTTATGCTTTGTTATGAATACATGTAATTAAAGATAAAGAGTAAAATAATAATGTGATATGAAATATATGCAATCATACTCTTATAAACACTTAAACTTCCCCACCCCACTTTTCCAAAACCAAGACAATATTAAGTACACATTCCTGAAAACGAGTATCATATAGTTCAAAGAATGGAAGAAACACCTACAAAATCTTAATTGTATAAAGGCTACAATAATGTGTGTATTCTTCCAGATCCAAATCTAAAGTGAGCATAAATTAGAGGGGACAGAAACAAGCAAATGTTGACTGTTACCAAGGGGATGCTTAAAAGGACTTACCAGAGCCAACCAGTCAAATTGGGGGATAAGGTAGAGTGTTAATTAACGATTGCTATGATAGAAAGTTCTCAATTAAAGATATATATTTTGTGACAAGCAATAGATTTATACAATCTGATCTGATTTAAACTACGTGGTAGAAATGAACTCTATCACAGCTACCGTGTGATCAGACAGTCATTATTGCCAAATACTAACTCTACTACTAGAGAATTTATTCGGATTACATTCAATTTCCTTTCGGTAGTTATGCAATTGATCGGTAGTTCGAAGTCAATATGGCTGCCCCCATGAAAGTACTTCCGGTGTTGAAATTATATTGTAAGTTATTGTTTTGAAACAGTAAAAGGAACACACAATCTCCTTCAATAGTCAGTATGTTATATTTGTCATCACCAATGTTTTAAAAGCAAATTTACACGACTATGCCTATAGATTCTACACCATTCAGTATTCAGTACAAACATTGAGCACACAAATGGAAAATATAAGAAATTCGAGGCTACTTCACTTACAGTGGTGTAACCTATTTTCGTGGATATAAGGATTCAACACCGAATTTCGTCAAAGTTAAAAAAACGAAAAAAAATTTTTATGTCTTAGATGTTTCCTCAGATATTCTACAAAATAATAGAAATTGGTTTATTTCGATTTTCTTAATGAATCCTTCACTTTGACCCATATTTCATGAGCAACCAACTCGGGAACGGCGGCAGAATGCGTCACCTATTTTCGTGTACAATGTTTGATCTATAAATAAGTCTAGATAAACACGTTGTATGGATACCGGGTGGTATAATTAACTTCTCTTAGTATTTATCTTTAATATCAATTCATTATAACTAGTGACAATTCATTCAAAGAACCATGATTTAAAAAAAAAATAGCGACTGACAAAATAAGATACATAGCGTGAATTATTGCTAAAAGTCACTGAAACAACATAAGAATATGGTCCACTTTGTGTTCCATAGAAATTTTCTGCTGACACGGAATCCACTAGTTGATCACGTGACTTCATTCGTTGGATTATATTCTAGCAGACGACATTTGGAATTCCGATTACCACTCGGGATTATAATGAATTTCGGCCGATAAAAAATGGTGACGTTTGGTAATAAGTGAAATCCGCCATTTTGTATTTGTCAAAGTATACATTAATACATTTTACCTTGCTTGAAACTACTGGATTCATTCTACTAGCTGATATTGTACAGAAAACTCATGTTTATTAAAACAAACTAATGCGGAGGTCGCGCAAGGTCGCTCACGTAAATTATTAATCCTTTCCGGAAATCCATGAATAATAGGTTTCCACGAAATTAGGTTACTCGACTGTATGTACCTCTTTAAGATTTTAATAATTTTGTATCCACTAAAATATCACATGATGATGGTCTAGAATTAAAATCGTAATGAAGTAGGCTACATATAGAGTGAAATAGCGTCAGAAATTCGACGGGTCAAACCAAATGATGTTCGAACTTGGATTTAGAAGACCTGTTCTAATAAGTCATCTTGCCATCTTGATTTGTATTTTAGGAATAATAAACAGCCATGTCTGTATTTAAAGAATCACAAGAGAATGATGATGAAAGGTATAGTGAGATTTACTAAATTGTTTACGTGTTTCCTTAATCTGCAGTTATTTTAATTCATTATAGTGTGGTATTTCTGGATCATTTGCCAATAGACTGACATCTGACTTTTTTCTTTAAACTTACCTATGTTTACCATTTAATAATAAAACAATCTTATATTTACTTAGGAAAAGGAAAGATATTGAAGAAAGAATACGAAAGAGAATTGAATATGAGAAAAGAGCTTTTAATATTGTACAGGAGTTAATAGAACCTGATATTTCAGTTCAATATTTGTTACAAGTTGTAAGTTCAATCTTATATGTCTAACTAGCTTGAGCCCATGATTTTGCAAATGAAGGATTTTTTGTAATACAATGGCAAGGGGTGCAAGTAATGTTCAATGTTAAAATATTGTAAAAATAGGAATTATGTATTACAGTTCTTTGTTGAATAAACATTATAGATAAATGAGAATTGTTGAGAATTGTTAGTGTCTGAATATATTAATTTTTTCCAGGGAAATATGATAGGACCCAGTCATTATGTTGATATTGTAGAAGAGAGATCTATTACCAAAATTTGTGGTTATCCACTTTGTAATAAATCAGTGAAAACTGTAAGTAGGCCTATTCTAATAGTTTTATTTAATCTTTTGCATTTAAGTGAATTGGTTGTCCTATGGAAGACAAAGGTGTATGAAGCTCCAATTTCGTTTGATAATGAAGTTTAATGATGTTGTTTACTTAGCCCCTAGATCAGTAGTTCCCAACCTTTTTCAGCATTCACACCCCTGGAGCAAACACCTGAACTGTTCACACCCCCAAATTTTTCAGAATGTGTTGATGTGAGGTGCTCTCTCAATTCAAAACCAATTCTACTCCTATACCAGTTGGCCACACCCCTGACATCCTAGTCCCACACCCCCTGGGGGTGAAAACACCCCAGGTTGGGAACCGGGCCCTAGATAGTATATAAGTAAAAAAATTAGTTTTTTGGAACATTATTATTACAACAACTTGAAATACACTAAAATGTCAACATTTGAAATATTTTACATATATTGGCAGGTATTAAAACAGAAGTATCATATTTCTACAAAATCCAACAAAATTTATGACATCTCAGAAAGAAAGGTAAGTTAATTCAAACAGTACCACAGGGGACCCAAAACCTGAGGGTGGCCCTGCCTTTGCTACCCACACTGGGACTGGTGAGAAATGTTGTGACCCCCTATCAGACCTCTCATCTATTAATGCATAGAAATGCCATAGAATTTGATGTTCCATTTCAGAAGTTTTGTAGTAATCAGTGTTTTAAAGCATCGAAGTATTTTGAGAACCAAATATCATCAGCGCCAGTCTGGGCTAGAGAATTGGAGCCTAAAGTTGAATTTCAACTTTTAACTGGATCAAGGTTAGTTGTTTATTTAAAGTACAGAAGCACTTATGCAGGGACATCAAAGTCTTCTTCGAAACATATATTATATCAAATCTGATATACCTCATCACAAGTTGTAACAAAGTTTTAGCTGAAAACATAATTTGATTGTTGAATATTTAACAACTGTTTGAATGAAATGCTCTTAGTTAGGAATAGAGGGAAATGATAGAGAAAGAATGTAAAAAAAATTGCTAATTATTTTGATTTTTCAGTGGATCTATTGGTGATGAGATCATTGTGTCTTCAAAAGAACAGGATGCTCTGAAAGATGAGGTGGAAAGATTAAAGAAGCTAGATAGAGAGGGAAAGGATACTGATAATAAAACCCAGGTTACAGAACAGACTGATAGCTCAATATCTGATGGGCAAGAGTGTTGTAAAGAGAAAGATTTCTACCTAGAAGAGTTTAAAAGCCAAGAACTAGAATCAAATGTGGAGGATGTTGAGAGTCGCTTCAGTCAACTTACTACAGATACTAGTCAAGTCCCTTCAGAGATTCCTAAGTCTCTATATGAGCAAAGTGAACTTAAAAATCCCATACAAACTGTACCTAATCAGCCCACAGAATCTAAAAGTGAATACATGTTAAGACTACTTAATAAACGAAAGAAACATTTATCAAAAATGTCTGTGGATGTCCCTTTAAGTGTTGGTTCGAGTACACAAACTAAAAATACAGCTGTAAATGTTCTGCCAAAAACTCATACTGAACCTCAGAGGAAAACCTCTCCATTGAGACTTCTTAGTGATATTATCAAACAGTGGGTTACTGAAAACACCAAAATGTACCTGAAACAACAGTCATTAAGCGTAGTTTGTGCAAGCATGGAAGAACACTATAATTCACTTTGTCAAAGATTGGAAGAAAAAGAAAGAGAGAAAGAAAAATTAGAGGAATTACTGTTTAAAAAATTACAAATTGAAGATGGTAAATCTAAGATGAAGCCATTACCAGGTTATGAAGATTTGAAAGAGGAAGTACGAAAAGAAGAAATAAAAGTTAGAGAATTTTTACGTGGTAATTTCTGTACTGATAAAGACTTACAGGAAAGTGAGAAGGTAAAATATTTATACTCTCTCTCAATGTGCTCTTTCCAACCTTGTTCTAAACCTAAATTTTCAAATGTAGCCAATAAGAGTATGTACTTACAATTTTAATTTTCTGGTGTCAAAACTATATATTACAATTATATGAGTTTGAGAATTTAAGTTTTAAGAGGTAGTATTCCTTTAATGTGCATTGGTAGATTATTACTAATTGTCTCATGTTGTTGACATTGCACTTGATGCTGTATGACAAGAATAACCAAACTCATTTTTAATTGGATTTTAAGTGGTGTTTGATGATTAAATTATTCGTTATATATTGCCTTGTCAGGACTATATAGAAGATGATAAAGCACCTGTAGTTATGCCTACTGTAGACTCTCTTGACCAGATGGTAATTAGAAGAAGAATTGTATTAGAAAGATTAATGAAAGTGTAAGATTTTTTTTCCTCAGTATTTACTGATCAGACTGATTTTAAGGTGTTTTCACAAGTCCTTGACCAATTTGAAACATCTTTTAAGAAATGTCAAAACTATAAAAAGTGGTAAGATAATAAATGTTTTGTGAATAACCAAGAATTCTTCACATTTTTATTCAACAGAGCATTTGATTATTTAAATATAAAATGACCAAGAACGTTAGATATCCAGTTTTGTATTATAATCAGATTGTATCAAAATCAACTGAGTGGTTGAGAACCTTGTAGAAGATATTTTACATATATCATATTTGATTACAGACTACCTGAAGTTTTATCACCTTTAAGATTATCAATATTAGATGTTACAGAAGAACTCAGAGAATTAGTTCATACCTTCAGGTAAAATTCTGTCAATTTCATGTACAAATCAATCCACGCTTTGTAAGATATTTCAGTCAGGGCTGTAACTACATCAAGGCAAAGGCAAATGCCTCAGACCGATTTTGACAAAAAAAGAAATTTTGTTAAAAAGATTGGAAATATAAATATGATATCGTCCATAGTAATTGCTTACTTGATGACCTGCCGTGGCTCTGTGAGTTAGACGCTTGCTCGCTAACCCCAGCTTAGGTTGAGATTATACATTTAGATTTTTCAACCCAGTTTCCCCTTGTCAGTGATGCAGGTAAGAGGGGCTGACATGGAAAAAACGCCTAGTCGTACGGATGAGACAATAAACCGAGGCCCCGTGTTCTACAGTCTGCGCACGTTAAATATCCCTCGACAGTTGGCAAACGAAAAAGAGCAGGCTCATTGCACTTTCCCTCATTGCACCCTGCATGGCGTTGCATTTCTTCATTAGCCCACATAGTGCAGAAAAGTATGATTTCAAACTCCATTTATTTCATTTATACCATAAAGGTCATCACCTTCTGAATCTCACTGAAAAAAAACTACAGCTACAGCCCTGTCAGTACTAGGTTTATTAGATGGCAAGAAGGTTTGCACATTATATTCTTAATTATATGGTTATGAATTAAAAAGTTTATTTGTATTTCAGGTTTACCAGTTCTAATATTACTTTTAAACCTGCTCAGTGGACAATGGTGGCAATAATTATTTTGAAATTGTAAGTCAATTAAATTTTTGAAGGTGTCAGTATCCTTTAAACAGCAGACAAGTTTCTTTCCTGCTGTTGATAATTGAAAAACTGTTTTTAGGCATAGACTAGCTTAATGTATAGAAATTACAACAATTGTATTTCTTTTGCTGAGAAAATGAATAAATACTCTATAACCTTGTATATTAAGTACATATATCAGTTTTTGGGGTTTTGATCTTTGGATTTCCTAACTTCACAGGGGTTTCTTTGGTGTCCCAGATCTGATACATGTAATATTTGTATAGGATATAACAATGTAAACTTTATAGTAGTAACTTACATTAGATTATTTTGTGTTTTATTTCAGAATCTCCAATAGAAATAAGAAAGTAGAAGAATCTTTCATCAACCAATCAGCTGTTAGATATCTTGATATTATTCTGAAAGCTCTAGGAGAAGATATTGATACATTTCAAATAGTAATTGATAATATTGTTCAATAAAGTATTATGTCTTTCCTAAAGTTTTCTTGGATCTTTAATGAATGTCATCCCATGTTCTGGATGCTTGAAATCCAAACAAGATTTAGTTTTTTGATGAATTTTTGTGTGGTCTGCAAAATTGAATTCAACTGTAGTTACCCCCCTTACTCTATTGAACCTATGGAAATAAAAGATTTCATCATTCCGAGGTCTGTGTTTCAAACCTATGTATCCATTGGTTGATTCGTTTGGTGTTTCATTTTCTCAGAATCAATCCCATTTATTACTATTTGAAGTCAACAGATGTATTACGAAACTTTAAAAGAAGTGCTTTCGAATCAGCACACTTATCAACAGAACCCTTTTTAGACACTGTATGTCGTCAGTCTTCAACAGTAGAAAAAGCATTGACCTGAAGCTCACTGTTGTAAGGCCCCCCGGCAAAGGAAAATGGGTACTCTGTCTATCTTCATAGGTAATGAAATGCAATCGTTTTATGGAAAAATAGAAAGATAGGTGCAACTGAAAATGAAGTGGGGTTTTCTATAATTCTTTGGTCTTGTGAAGACGAGAGACCTTACATGGTGCAAACACTTCTAGTCGGCTCTAGCGGAACTTTCACACTGGATCGTTTCTGTAAAAAACAAAATGTCAAGGAAAACGTTGCCTACCTGCCATCCATCGATAAATGTTTGCAACTGTCAGTGATATAGATGAGAGAACTGTCTTGTGGCCGAAACTGAAAATCAAAAGAGTGCGTAAATTGCCAAGTCCTGACGACACTGTATGTCATCAATAGTGAACTAACATTTCATATCCATCTAAATGAATTACAGTATCCATACGTCTCTTAATTATCTTCAAAGATGCAAAGTTGCTAAAATTTGACGAATAACTTAGTCTACAATGACAGTTTAATTGCAGGTGAACTCAACGTCGGATTTCCATTCAAAGCAATATGTGTAGCTCAAACTATGCTTTTTACATAGTAAATCAGATAACTATGGATTGCATAGACTTTGTTATTTAAATCCCCCCACCTCTCAACAAAAAAACTTATAAACCAAGATAGTGCAGAGATTATTAGCAGCATATGGAATGAAGAAGAATTTTCTATATATCAGTTCCCCTTCCCCCATTTATTTTCTGAAAGTTTCGTATTCCCACCTGCAAGCTGCAATAATTAAAGAATTAATATGGTCGTCCATATTCATTATGCTGTGCACACCTAGCCAATTATGACCAATATTGAACAATACTGGAATAAGTTCTATATTTAGTTATCTCGTATGAAAATTAATTTACATTGTATTGTACATAATGCTCTTGATACATGCCTTTACTGATCCATATCCCTTTTAATAGATACAATATTTTCTGTATTCATCGTAATGATATTCCCTAGTGGGTGCCCCATAGACACAGTCGCTTCTTCCAACCACCATTTAATATGCTAATAGACATTATAACTGAGGAATTCCCTTATCTGTGCGATACACCATTGCCTAGTTCTCTTGTTCGCGTGCCAACTACTTTATATGGTTATTTTTAAAAAGCTTGTGTTACTATGGTTATATATTTTCTGTCATGTCGGAAGGGGTTTTGAATTAGTCGAGTCAGTAGTGAAACATGATAGAAAACACAATGTGACATGTGATAAAATGAGGAAGAGATATTATGTATCGGTGGAACGGTAGTTAAACTGTGGTGTATCAAGACGGGAGTATACCAGTCAATAAATCACTGTCTAGTATAAGCTATTTACTGGAAACAAGTCAACATTGATAGGAACACCGCGACCTTTTAAATATCTTCGTGCAATATATTCCACAGCTTTCAGCAATTTGCATGGATAGCTTATGTTTTATTCACATATTGAGACGACTTTTCATTGCCAGGAATTCAGTCATGCTGTTATTTAACTGTGATCACATGACCAAAGAATTCTCGTTTCAATCAGGCTAATAATGTACTGTAGGGACAACGAGGAGCAAGTTATTTTCTAGCAATGAAGCACGGAGTGGGAACTGCCCTCAAGGGCTGGAAAATACCGTCTCAGTGGTCATGATATTAGAAAATAAGTTTACCATGAGCGATATAGTTCGTGTATCGAAAAATTTCAAAAATAATCTGCTGGTTCAAGATGAAGCGGGGAATACTCCAAGACGAGAGGGAAGAAAGCTAGCTGGTGGAAGTGCTCGCTTATTGCTCAATGTTGGAGGAGTCAGACACGAAACGCACGTGTCAACTTTACGTAATGCTCCACACACACGTTTGGCTAGATTAGCTGAAGCTCATTTAGAATCAGGATGTAAGACTGAGGAATATTTCTTTGATCGTCATCCAGCAGTGTTCAATTCCATCATAGATTACTATCGAACAGGTAAGGTCTCTTCTGTCTTTTCAATCAATTTCGGTTCTTACAGGCGCTTTATTCCTCTGCTAATTAGTTTCACCTGTTTAGTTCTGAAATTGGATGGAAGATCATTGTTTATACTGATTTCTATTGAAGATCTCAAACACGGGCTACAGTCCATGCCTTCATAATGTCAAAACACCAAACACATCGCCCTCGGAAGTGGCTATACGAGGGTCTCTTCTGGAAAAATAGTTAATTAGAAGCCTTAAAGATTAGAAAAATCCATGAGGTGGACTGCCATGTAATATGTTCGCAGTAGCTTATTCGGAGTAGGGAGTAAGTGAATCTTAATGTTTGTGAAAAGATTATTCGCCATGCTCTCAGTTGGTGTCTGTGAACGTAGACTCGATTATTGAATATAATCTATTATCAGTCCAACTACAGGAAGTTCTAGTCAACAGTGGTTTGAAAAGCTACCAATTACTGCGCAATAAGACCTAAATACCAAATTGAATTTCTTAAATATGTCTCCTATAAATGTAACTGGCCTAAAGCAAATGACCGAAATATGGTTATATCATCGTGTCGGCTGAAATTTGTATTCCTTGCTCTGTAAATGACAATGGTTAAATCATACTATAAACGCAATAAAGAAGACACTGGCGAAGTTAATGATAGTCCTACATTCATCTTGCATAACGCAATGGTGAAGTCTTGCTTTTCATGACCCCATCAAGCGTGGTGATGAAGCAAAGCCTTTTGTTTCACGCAACGATGAAGCCGTAAGTTTTTCTATAATACAATGGTGAAGTCTTTGCTTTTCATGACCCCATCAAGCGTGGTGATGAAGCAAAGCCTTTTGTTTCACGCAACGATGAAGCCGTAAGTTTTTCTATAATACAATGGTGAAGTCTTTGCTTTTCATGACCCCATCAAGCGTGGTGATGAAGCAAAGCCTTTTGTTTCACGCAACGATGAAGCCGTAAGTTTTTCTATAATACAATGGTGAAGTCTTTGCTTTTCATGACCCCATCAAGCGTGGTGATGAAGCAAAGCCTTTTGTTTCACGCAACGATGAAGCCGTAAGTTTTTCTATAATACAATGGTGAAGTCTTTGCTTTTCATGACCCCATCAAGCGTGGTGATGAAGCAAAGCCTTTTGTTTCACGCAATGATGAAGCCGCAAGTTTTTCTATAATACAATGGTGAAGTATCGTTGTAAGCAATGATCCCAGAAACCGCGATGATACGCAAAGCATTATATTTATGAAGGACTTTTTATCATAATTCCTGCTTGACGCAATGGTGATGTCTAACTTAGCACTAGTATTATGTTTAGTGAGCAAGTCCTAACTAACACAATGGTGAATTCCTGACTGACGCAATGAATAATACATGCCTAGCACAATCCAGTCACGTTTTGCAACCACAACTCTTTATTAGAAATAATCAAGTCCTAACCGACTCAATTCTTATCTTAAGATACTTTGCGCAGTCTTAAAGGGATTGTTAAGAGGTTTTCTAAATTTTGTATGTGTATCGTAGACACTGATAGC